AAAGTAAAACTACATGACCTGTTTAGTAACGACCTTAACATACATAGATTAAAAATAATAATAAAACAAGGTTTTTATTTAGGTTTTGGAACAAGTTGGAAGCGAGAATTATAATAAGAACTTGTTTTTGTTAGTTGGCAAAATTTTTATATAATTTTAGGAATATTTCTAAAAAAAATTGAAAAGAAACATAAATAGTTGTTACTTAATAAAATAAAGGAGATTTGTAATGGGTAGCATATAAGTTTTCTATATTTAACAAAATAGCATGCCTTTTTGATATTTTCAGATATAACATTTTTTTGAAAATCCTGATTTTAAAATTTTCAGTATTCCCAAATTACCCTTTTCAGTTATCGCGCGTAAGCTTTCCCACTTTCTTTTCATTATTATATATCAAACATATATCAGAAGTATATCTGACAACATTAGTATATCAGAAGTAAATCAATAGTATATCAGAAGTCAATAAGTTCTATATCAGTTGTATAATAGTAAATCACTATTTTATCTGCTTTAACCCTTTGTCTTGTATATATATATATATATTATCAATTAGAAATCAGTAGGTGTTGGCATGCATGGAAAATGAGAAAATTTTTTGATACTTACTGAAAATGAGAAAGAAAACTTGAAAGGAACGTGAATGTGAACGTCAATGATGATTTTCGAAATTACTGTGAATGAGAAATCGAAGGGAAGAAGATGAATGAACAATCAATTAGAAACTAAAGGTAAATAGAAATTTAGGGTTTTTCTATATATCAATAATATATCAGTGATATATCAAGTATACATTGTACATATATCAGTAGTACAGTTAAGTTTTATTTAAAGTTTATAGATAAAAACGAAATCAGCAATAATGTCATTCTTAAAAGGTTTAAATATCATTCTTGGGTATCAACATCAGCAACAAAATCCTTCAACCAAAAACTTAAAGGTTTAAACATTAAAACGAACCCAGTAGCATAAATCAAAAGTAGACTAACAATGTCATTCTTAAAATTCTATAAAAAAAAATAAGCATAAGTTCCAGAAACATAAGTTCCAACAGTCTAGAAAAGTGTAAGTTTCATTTTTGTATAATCTTTAGGTAAAAGCTTGTGACATCAATCTTCATGCTTGGTGATTGTCGTGTTTTCGGATATAATATCTTTGAAGCTTTCCGTTTTTCCATAGACAACACTTTTGGTGTTGGTTTATGTTGTCTTTTGGGACGAACGACATCAACATTTTCGACGATATTTTTTTATTTCATTTTTCGTGTTTGTACCATTGCTTTTATCTGAAAAAAAATTATTTTATATATTAGTAGTATATCAGAAAACATATTAGAGGTAATATGTTCGAAATAATTGGTAGATATCATAGTTATATCAGAAGTAAATCAATTTCATATCATATGTATATCAAACATATATCACATATATATCAAGAGTATATCTGTCAATCATAGTTATATCAGAAGTAAATCAATAGTATATAAGAAGTCAATCAGTTCTACATCACCTATAGTAGTAGATATCATAATTATATCAGAAGTAAATCAATTTCATATCATATGTATATCAAACATATATCACATATATATCAGGAGTATGTCTGTCAATCATAGTTATACTATAAGTAAATCAATAGTATATCAGAAGCCAATCAGTTATATATCACCTATAGTAGTATATATCATAGTTATATCAGAAGTTAATCAATTTCATATCAGA